GTCTAAAATGTAATAAATAAGAATCCAAAGATGAATGTCTCATGAAAATATCAATGATTATATAATCATCCTATGTCATCTCATTGGTATCATGAGGTTTCTAAGCAAAGCAACTATGGAATGATATAATGTTACATATCTCTTCTCTAACTACTATTATTGTTGTAAACAAGTAAATAGGGCAAGTTAACTTCAAAATTAAAATCTAGCATAAAATTTTACAATATTATAAACTTTAAGGACAGTTGTAACAAATCTATCCGTTCTAGCTAGATTACAATACGATCAAATTAAATAAAAGAATCTGAATCTTGAACAATAATAATTGAGAACCAATTCTGAAATAGACATCCAAATTAGGTAAAAAGAAAATGCCATTCGAATTGATTCAATTTTAGCTTAACTTTAAACGAAGAACAAGTTCAAGATAAAGAATATCACTAGCCAAAGAGGGAATAAAACTTTTTTGGAAGTGAAAGTAAAACAAAACAAAAATCTCATAGTACTATATATAGACAATGAAAGCTCGTTCCAAAACCACACACAACACAAATACAAACCTTAAAACTCACTTGTTCTTTATCACAATGCAGTACTACGAAACCCGTGAAAAAGACTACTACGAAGAAGCTCAAGGCCAGAGGCACGAGGGCTATGGCCAAGGCAAGAACCACCTGAGCTATGGCCAGAACCACCAGGGTTATGGCCAGAACTACCAGGGTTATGGCCAGAGCCACCAAGGATATGGTCAGAGCCATACCAAGCCAGTATACGGTCAGAGCCCGACTATGAACCATCGTAGCCACGGTGGGTTTCTTGATGGGCTCTTCAAGGGTCAAAATGGACAAAAGGGTCAGAGTGGCTTAGGGTCGTTTCTAGGGCAACACAAGAGCAATGATGAAGCTAGCAAGAGTCATGGACATGGGAAGCTCTTAGGACAGCACCAGAAGAAAACTCATGAGACAAACAAAGGTATGAATGGACTCGGAATGTTCATTAACAATGG